TCTAGACAAGGCCTTAGCCTGTGAGCCAACTGAGGACAGCATCCTGCCAGCAGTCAATATAGGGAAACTGATCTGGGTGCCCAGCCTTCCCTACAATTATCCTATAAACTTCATTAACCACAGTTTTATCTAGTGACCCTTCTGGAGGCCACCCTACACCAAAAGCAGACCAATTTACTTCACAAAGGGCCTTAAGCTTGTTAGGAGTTAACTCCATAGCCTCCATTAAATCCCTTTTTAAAGTTTTTAAACATACATTCCAAGGAGTGTTTTTTTCTGATTCCCACCCATTTCCTCCCATTACCAGACATCAAGACAGACACGGAGGGTGGTAGTTTTGGAGGAGAGGTAAAGGGGAGCCCTCTTCTCTGACACACAGGGGAGAACAATATGAACCCCTTATTGTGACCTGGATGTGGTTGCCTGGCCAGGAACTGCACCCTACACAGGGTCCTCATTTCCTTTGTCCATCTCTGGCCACTCCCCTCACAGGGATTTAGGCATCTCTTGGCCATGGTGATTCTGATAAACCCCAGACCAGAAGCCCTGTTAGGGCTCACACTAGACCATGTGAGTTTGCCATAGATCCGCAGACTGGGATTCTGCACTCACTTCAAAGCCAAGCTACATCTCATTCACACATGTTCACACACAGGCATCCAATGTCTCCACCTGCACCCAGTCCCTAGGAGTCACAGTTTTGTCTGGGAGGTTATTGAGCTCCCATTCTGCCACTTAGGGGCAGGCCTAATATTTGAACCTGGGTTCTTAACATTCTAACAGGTGGTGCTCCCCTTGCTGGTTCCTGTGCCTCACTGGGTTCTGTTGTGCATTCAAGGCCCTCACCCTGACTCATTGGACAGATGAGTCCCTACTCCAGATCAAACTGTCCATTGGTGCCTGGTCGGATGATTTCTCCTGGCAGTGCAAGGTATGTACCCTGGTGACAAGGGAGGTGAAAAACCACCTTCTCCACAATCCTGGATATGAGTCCCCAGAGATGTTGCGGGGATCTGGAACAGAGACAATGGACACTGAGGCAATTCAACAGGAAGTAACATTTTATTGTGCCAGCACAGAGTCAGTGGACTCGAGTCCAAAGGCTGAGCCCCAAGAGTAAAGGAGACCTTACCTCATATACCCTTGCAAGCAGATTACAGAAGCAAAAAGCAAAGTTTAACCTATACATCATTGCATGCAACTCTATTGGCTACTTCACCCCCCCAGTGCTATGTGACCTTTTCCACATTTAGATTTCTTAAGTTTTATCTCTCTGCTATGCCATCCCTTCCCCATTAATATATTATCAGAACACAGACTTGCCTGCTATCTTTTCTGCCCCTCCTCCCTCCTACAAGTTGAGTGACTGAATCTGAACACAAAGTTAGTCTACCATAAAGTTACAAAGCCAGGACTTTGTGAATCTGTTGTAGAAGACAAAATAAGTGCATTTGTCACAATGAGCCGGAAAGTAAAAGGGATCATCAGACTCAGTTAACCTCCACTCATTGATCATGGCATACCTATGAGTAAAATAGGTAAGAAACCCATGGACTTTTTACTTGATTCGAACAAGTAGGAAATCTAGGTCTAGTCAATCAACATGAGAGTTGTAGACTTTTGGCCAGTTTTGTAATGTGATAGAGTTTCCATCTCCAGAGTTCTTTGAATGAAGGACTGGCCAGGTCCTCTTGAGGAAGTGCTCCCCAAAGTGAATAACACTAGGATCAGTCATTCTAGCTTTTCCCAAAGTGACCTGTAGTCAAGTTTATGTTGAGTATATATTAGGTAAATAGAAACATCCAGAGGAATTACTGGAAACTACAGCTGAATTGACAATACTTCCCAGAGCCCAGCAGGTCATTGTGGTCTACCAGTTAGTATAAGGGTTTGTAGAGGGCACATATGGGTGCTTTTGCTTGAGTCATATGCAGAGGTCTGAATGGGTCCTTGAACCATGGTTAGTCCCCAAATTCCAGAATGCAGAATTGCAATAGAAATACTTAACCATGATCAATGGCTATTTTGGTAAGAAAACACAAGTGAACGTTGTAACTGCTTTGTATGTACCAAAACCATTAAGCCAAAGCAAATCCACATTCATAGGGGAGTCACAGAGGTTAGTGCCACTAGGAGCAATGATTTGTATCACAACCCCAATCATACACTCATTTGCTTGTGCAAAAGATAAAGTGAATCTCGGAGAACGACATGGGATTATTTTAAGCTTAAGTAGGAGTTGGCTTTGGGTGGAGCTCCAGAGGTGGTGGGATTTTTTGGCTTGGGGGTTTTGTTGGATTTTTTGTTTGTTTGTTTGAGACAGTGTCTCATTATGTAGTCCAGGATGGCCTTGAACTTGTGATCCTCTTGGCTCTATCTCCAAACTGCTGGGATTACATGCCCTGCTTAGATGTGTGTTTTTTTTTTTTTTGGAATAAATCAACATGTCTGCTGGCACCTGGCACATGGCCACTAAGTTATCTCTTTATCAACTAGATTTTTAAGTGATGTTTCGTTAAAATGCAGTTGTGGGCCAGAGGTATGGCACAAATGGTAGAGTGGGGCCTAGCAAAGATGAGGCCCTGAGTTTAATCCCTAGTACCACAAAAAATATATCCACTACCACTCTGTATATATTGGCTGAGTGCTTTTGTGCTAAAATGGCAAGAATTGAGTAGTTAACTACAGAGAGTGAGTATTCTGTGAAGCCTAAAATATTTGCTATCTAGCTCTTTCCATAATAATTTTCGGATACCTGTTCTGGCCTGCAGAAATCTTAATTGCCTTTCCATTTCACAAGATAAGATCTGCTTTCCCTACTCCACCATTTCTGCTAAAAACACCATATGTGGACCTTACAGAATGCTTTACTCTCTGCTGTGGTCATCTACCCAGAATTGCTGTGAACAAATCAGTCCTTTGACAAAAAAATGAATTGTGGTGGATGAGTTCCTGTTCACATCACTAATCTTCCCATGTTTCCTGATGCCACTTCCATTTCAGTAGCTGGATGCCTGGGTTCTCAGCATTTCTACATTTGTCATACCACTATTTGTACAGGTCCAATCTCTGTTTTAAAATTCCCTTATCCCCCAAATCATAGCAATTTGGCTTTTCTGATTGAGCTCTGACTGATAACGAAACCATTTCTGCTTCTTTTCAGTCCCTACCATGCTCTCTTAAGTGTAATAATTTTCCTAACTTATAGCATTATTGGCTACTTTTCCTTTTGTTCATCTCTATATAAATGGTATCCCAGAGTATGTATTCTTGGGGTATTGTTTGTTTTTGCCAACAATATGTTTGTGGAGTTCAACCATGTTGTTGTTTACAGCAACATTTTAGTTATTTTCTTACTTTAAAGTAGTAGTAGGCAAACTACATCTCATGCACCAAATCTTGATATGTTTGGTGTGTGTGTATATTTATTTCTGCTTGCTGGATATAGAATTCTGGGCTGGAGGAGTGGCTCGAGTGGTAGAGCGCCTGCCTAGCAAGTGTGAGGCCTTGAGTGTGCTGCCAAAAAATGCCTGTTCCCTAGATATAGAATTCCTATGTTATGGAGGACCAATATATTTAGTTGTTTGGCACTACTGGAGTTGAACTCAGGGCCTTGCACTTGCTAGGCAGGTGTTCTATCCCTTAATCCACTCCACTAGCCCCATGTATATAATTTTCACAGATAGTATGAAACATTTCCCAAGGAATTTTACCAATGTAAACTCTCACAAGCAAAGTAAGAGAGTTCAATTTTCTGCTACCTCTGTCAGCACTTTGGTACTGTAAGTTTTTATTTTTAGATTAATCAAAGTGTTTAAAAAGAATCATTCTAATTCTTTGTAAAAGCAGACAATAGAATGGTAGTTACTAGTTGTTAGGGAAATTGGGAAGATGTTAGTCAAAGGATACAACATTTTAAGTAGCTATTCTGAGCCAGACACCAGTGGCTCACATCTGTTATTGTAGCTGCTCAGGAGGCAGAGATTAGAAAGATCTCCATTCAAAGCCGGCCCAGGCATATAGTTTGTGAGATCCTATCTTGAAAATACCCACACAAAAAGGGCTGATGGGGTGGCTCAAGCAGTAGAGTACCTGCTTAGTAAAGCGTGAAGCCCTGAGTTCAAATCCCACAAAAAGTAGGCATTCTGGCATGTAGCTAATGGTGTCTCATTGAGGGTTCAATTTGTACCAATGTGATGATTAATGAGAAAATTGAGAATTTATTTGAGGCTTGTTTTACATTTCTTTATCTTCTTTTGCAGGGCTTGTTAACATGAGTTATGCATTTTATATTCAGTTGGTAGTTTATTCGTGGATTTATGGGATTTATTTATTTTGGTGGGACTGGGGTTTGAACTCAGGGCTTTATCCTTGCAAAGCAGGCACTCTACTGCTTGAGCCACATCTCTGGTTCATTTTGTGCTGCTTATTTTGGAGATTGGGGGTCTGGTGAACTATTTTCCCAGGCTGGCCTCAACCCTTCATCCTCCTGATCTCAGCCTCTCAGCTAGGATTACAGGCGTGAGTCACCGGTGACTGGCTGTAGGATTTATTTATATTCTGCTTACCAAGCTTTCAGTGTATGTGTGTATTGTGGTTATCTTCCCAGCATTCTCACTTTCTTTATGGTGGACTGGATGAGCAACCATCCTTACCTGTAAACTTGTCACACTTCTTCTTTTAGTTACCACTTTTAGAAATCTTTGCATTAAACAAGGTCATGAAGATATTGTAGAAGTTTTTAAATATTTTACTTTGAATATTCACGTTCCAGGCGGTTGAGTGGCGGTTTCCCGCGCCCTAGCATTCTGAGACTTGCAGTCCAGAGCACTGCGGTTACAGTTACGTCGCACTGTCAACGGTTTCCTCCCGCGGAACTCTGGGAAGTGTAGTTCAGGACCTCCTGTTAGTCACAGGCAGTTCCGGCTCAGGGGCACAATGCTGGGCCTTTCTGGGAAACGCAGTCCGGAAGCTCCTGGTAGTCACAGGCACTTCCGCCCTTGGAGGCGGGCGAAGTATCCCTGTTTTACTGGCTTCAGTGATGAACTCCGCTTCCCAGGCACCTTACGTATTTCTCCAAAATGCGTTTGGGACCACCAGTTGGCATTCCTTCCTTTGGGGTGAAAAGGAAGGAGGGGCTGAGAGCGGAGGTTTGAGGCGTGAGCGCCGTTTTGCGTCCCCCAGGGCGGAGCTTCTTTGGGTCGGCGCGGAGCCAGTCTCCCATGCTGCGGCTGCTCCACCCGCGAGCCTGCCTGTCACTTCATGCCGCGTCACCTGGGGCGGTGAGTGACTGCGTTTGCTGATTTGGAAACGGGAGCTGCAAGTTCTTCCTTTCTAACACAGTATTTGAGAAAAAGTCATCTACTAACACACTGTTTCAGCCTGCCTGGCTCATAGGACTGTGTTTTCCACGCTCCTGTAATGTCTCCCAGGACGCAGTGGGGGTGTCCCCACCCCATGAGCTTTGCGTCTAGCTGGAACTGCGATTTGTCAGCTCTAGAGACACAGTCCTGCTGTCTCCCCGCCGTCCTTCCTTCCTTCCTTCCTCCCCCAGCCCTGACCGCACGCGACAGGAGACAGCAGAGTCCCACGTGAGCAAGGCTTGTCACTTCCACAGAGGTGACCACGCGCACGGCGGAGGTGAGGTCACGTCCTCTGACACCGGACGGATCATAGGAGCATCGGTTCCCTTCTGAAGGTTTTATACGGATGACTTTTCCTACCCTAAAGACGAGGCGATTGAGGCGCGGGTCATAAACTGTCGCACGCACAGCTAGTGGGTAGCAGGGCTGGCCCTGGACCCGGGTCAGCCTGAGTCCAGACCTGCGTTCATAATCTAAGGGTCTGTTCTTTCCGAGCCAGAGGAAACTGGCTGGTTCCATGTGAAGCAGGTTGTTTAGAGCTGGAGAGTAAGGTTTGGGCTGTTGAATGAGGATTTTAAAATAGTTTATGTCTCACATATTTCGTTTTGTTTACTTCAAATAATTTTATATTACAGATGTAACATGTAATTGTGGAAATTCCAGAAAATACGGAAATTTCAAGAAATAAACGTGTCGCCCATAACTTTAGGATAGAAATATACCAATTATTAACATTTTGCTGCCTTTTTTGGTCAAGTTATTCTTGTGTGTATTTCAGTTATAGTGGAAGCTGTTTTGTTTTGGAATGATAGTTCCCTGCCAGGGCTTCTGAAACTCTGGTTCCCAAACCACCCTCACCTGGAGGGGATGCCTGTAAGCTCCACCAAAGACCTTCTAATTTGGAATTTCTGCAGATAAGACCCAGGACTCTGCATTCCTACAAGTTCCCCAGGTGATTCCTGTGAAGGTGAAAGTTTGAGATGCTCAGGCAATGCAGACCCTGTGAGATGGCACAGAATACACTGACATGGCTGCCTTGGATCCCACTCAGTCCAAATATTTCAACCCTCCCCAATGTGTGCATTTTGCTCTGTTGGTGGCCATCAGTCAAATAACCCCAGGCACGTAGTGGGAAAGTGGAAGAAACTTAAATGTGAACTGTGGATTAGATAGCAGTGTGCAGCTGAGGACAGGTGAGTTTCTTTAGCTGACTACTGCAAGAATCCCGCTCTCCACAGGGAGTCGAGCATGGGTGTGTCGGCACAAGGCGGTTAGGGTGAGCTTGTCACAGGGTTTTGGCATGGGTTGGCTGAGTTGGGGAGAGGTTTAGGCAGGGAAGGTTTGTTGTGGATTGGATGCTGTCAAAGGCAGAAGCAGTTTGCTGACTGAGTAGTGTAATGAATTTTACCTAGGTAGGAGAAACAGTGAGATTGGAGTTGTTGCAGGTAACGAAGAGGTTACTCCTCTTAGCCAGGAGACAGTTATTTGGTTATTCACACATATTTTGATCACATGGGAAGTTTCTCTGGATTACAGACTCTTCCTTTTTCTTGGTCACCGAGTGGCCTTGCCTCATTCTTGTTAGTCAGCTGAAAACACCAAGTCTGGCTCTTGCTCCTGATGGCTGTGAGAGCTATCTTCACAGCTTTGTCATCTATATGTATAATGTCATTATGTCATATGCAATAACTACCTTGTGAGTGTATGATACATATGGGATTATGCCCTACATACATGCTTTTTTGCTGAAGCATATGAGAGCAAACTAGAGACAGTGATAAAATGAAATCAATTACATTGACATTATGCTGTTATCTAATCCACAGACTAGGATTAAGTTTGTTCAGTTTTCCCAGTGAGATCTTGGAGAGCAATCCCCTCCCACCCCAGATCAGAGGACAGTTTGATTCTATGCACTGTGCTTAGCTTTTTTTTCGTTAGTCACTTTAATGTAGAATGGTTCTTCAGACTTTCTTTTGCTCCTGGGCTCTTATTTTGTGAAGTCTTTGCAAATCTTTTGGTGGAATGTCCCTTTTTATGGCTTATTTGACATGTGTTTATAATTGTGTTCAGCCCGGGCATTATCAGGAGAGAGTCCATAGAAGTGATATTGAACACCTTCTCCATGCATCATGTGACAGTCAGATGTCCTGTGGGTTTGCCCGAAGTGGTCTCCACTTTGTTTTTCTGGAAAGGTATCCACCAGGTTATCCTTTTCTTTGTGCGGTCAATTCTTTGAGATTGTATCTTACTCCTCAGCACACTTTCGCTGGTTTCTTGCTATCTGTTGGTGATTTTCTACTGATCTTTCATTGCACACATGTTGGCTTATGCATTCTACCACAGCAGGAGCTTTGTCTTTTTACCTGTTTATTTATTTCTAACATTGTGGACTCAGATTCCTATCTTTTTCATTTACATTAGGTGAAGATTGTCCCACTATTTCTTATTGCACATCTTATGTTGTATTAATTTTTTCCCTCCATGCATATATGCCCAGATAGCACTTCCCACTTAAAAAGAAGAATCAAGGCTAGGAGTGCAGCTCAGTGGTAAAGCATGAGTTTAGAATGCGTGAAGCCCTGGGTTCAAACCCCAGAACCAGAAAAATAGATAAGATAGATGGACTGCAGACAGAGACAAATATTGTTATGGTAGCAAATTATTAAAAAGATAGCAAGAGTTTTTTCAGGACTTGTAGGAAAGTTACATGAAATAGCCACTACCTATGAGCTCCATACACCTTAGAATAGTTTGCTGGTAGAATTCACGTTTTTAAGGATAATTTCAAACTAGATTATCACCTATTTCCTGCCTTTGCTAAGAAAGAGACTCTCACATTGTTCTACTTTGCAAGAATCATGCTAGGTTGATCTGTGGGAGGGGTTCCACTTGCAGATGACAGAGCTGCAGCAAAGAGAAGTTAAAGTCTCCCCAAGGTGACACCCAGTGAGTGGCTGTGTACATTAGTGGTAGAGCTCCTCTTGCTTCTGTTATGACACTCTGTCCCATGCCTAGCGTACAGTCACTGTTGTGGAAGTTCACGTGCCCTGGTGACAGGGCCACTGTGTGCTTGGGCGTGTTGTTGTATGCACCGCTGCTGAGAGGAATGAAGGGATAATGGTGTCCTTGTCATGTTCTGCTTGTAAGCCACAAGAAACAAGCACCTTCTCTAATTCACAAGGAGCAGCCACGTGGATTAGTGCCAGTACTTGCTCAGGTTCCATTGATGGCTCTCTTTTCCTCATTCTGTCTTTATAGGACTCTGGGCTTTCCCAGAAGGAAGAATTAAAGATGAGCATTTTCAAGGTAAGTAGAGCTTGTTTTTTTCACTAGTAAAAATGCACTTTATGTTGGGTACTGATGGCTCACGTTTGTGACATGGGAGGCTGAGATCGTGAGGATCACAGTTTGAGGCCAACCCCTGCAAAAAACTTCCAGAGATCCCCATTTCAGCAGAACAAAAGCACCTGTCATCCCAGCTATAGCAAAAGCCTGAAATAAGAAAATTGTGGTTCAGACAGACCTGGGCAAAAAAAAAAGATCCTGTCTCTAAAATAACCAGTGCAGAAATGGGTGGTGGCGTGGCTCAAGTGGTAGAGCACCTGCCTTGCAAGCCCTGACTTCAAACCCCAGTCCCACACATATCCAAAAAAAGCCACATCAATAGTTAGAGATTAGAAGTTTTCTTTTTCAAGAGAGCCACTCTTTTTCAAGAGTGGTATGGGGGATTGAACTCAGTGCCTGAGCTGGCTAGGCAAGCGCTCTGCCATTTGAATATGTCCCCAGTCCTTTTGCTTTTAGTTTGTTTTTCAGACAAGGTCTCATGCTAACTGCCTTGGTGGCTTTGGCCTGCACTCCTCCCACCTCTGCCTCCCGAATACCTGGGATCACAGGTGTGTGCCCAGCCCTTTTATTTGTTTTTTTTGAAAGAAGGTCTCACTGTGCATTCCAGGCTGACCTCAAACTCGAGCTCCTCTAGCCTCTGGCTCCCAACTGCTGGTATTACAGGCATTTACCACCATACCTCGTTCTAAATACAATTTTAGAACTTAATTTAGTTTTTATGGGGTTGATTGTTGCCTACAGCCTTATGCATACAAGGTAAATACTGTACCATTGAGCTCACCACCAAACCCTAAGTAAAAGTTTAATTTGTGGTGTTTTCGTTTAATGTTATATAACATTTATTTTGAAGTATTCTCTCTCTATAGACAGGCAGTTTGGGGCTTTTACTGGTTTAAGGACACGACAGAGTCAGTTTTCCTGCATTTAACATTTTCCTGAAAACAACCATTTTGAGAAATATTACCTTTTAAAAACTCTTAACATAGTAGATATCCAAAATTGAAAAGGTCTGATTTATATGTGGCTCCTTGGATGTTTTGCTAAAATGTTGAAATGTGGCCCAATGCTTCAGATTTCCTGCTTCCCATAGGAGAAATTTCGTTAGCCATTTTCCTACAACAGGAGCCTGGGTCATACCCCTGTGTGTATTTTACTTCCTGATTCATTGTTTCCTTTTCATATTTTTTAAAATCAAAGTACTGCGTGACCTGAGTGTAAAGTCTCTTGATTCTAAAGGACTTGCCAGGCACTTGGCCTTCCTCACTGCACTCGTGCCTCTGAGCAGCTGTGTGAGGAGGTCTTTGGCTCATCTTCACGTCAGACCGAAAGAGAAGTGGTTGTGGGAAATGAGGAACCCGCTGAAGTTCGTGTGGAAAAATTGAAGATCACTCTAGTGAAAGACAGACAGGAAGAACCAGAAGGAGGCTGTCATTCAGAGGGTTGCCAGGTCCTATTGCTACTACACACCTGGCTCCTGCCTCAGTGGAAGGCTGTACTGTCAAACATTGGTGGAGCTGAATTGGTACACAATTTGGGGGAAATTGGCAATATTAAAGTGTAAAACCTTTTAAATTTAGGATTCAGCAGTTGGAGTTCTTTGGGAATTAACTTATTACAATGGTCATTGAGTACTTTACCTCACTGACACAAATGTTCAAAAGTTTGTTTTTCGTAGGAGCATTTGGGTAAATCTGAGGGAGAATCAGTGTATAGTGTTGGCGAGCTGGAAGGAAAAGGGCTGGAGGAACTACAAATGACTCAGAATCCCGAGAAACATCCCACGCATCCTACTCACCTTCTCAGTGCTACCTTTCTTCCAGTGGACATTGGCTGTAAGATTGAGGTCACGTGTGTTTGTTGTAGGAAGCAGTGACCTTCAAGGACGTAGCTGTGGCCTTCACTGAGGAGGAGCTGGGGCTGCTGGACTCTGCTCAGAGGAGGCTGTACCACAATGTGATGCTGGAGAACTTCAGGAACCTGCTCTCAGTGGGTGAGGATACGTGTCCTATTGAGTGTTATTCTTACTTTGGAATAATTTTCTTTTTTTTGGTGGTAGTGGGGGTTGACCTCAGGGCATTTCACATCCAAGGTAGGCAACTCTGGCACTTGAGCCGCACTCCCAAGCCCACTGTTGGAAGTTTAAAGCTTTTGGGCTCTCGACTGCTCATTCCTACTGGTTGTAAAAATGGGATGTTTCTGGTCTTTTTTGAGTGGGACATTTCAGGTCTTTTTCATTTGTGTCTTTTAAAAGAACTGTCAATGGACAATATTCTGCTATACCTTTTCTATTCTTTCTCACATTTTTCTACTGTCCCACAAGTGAGTTATAAAAGCAATTTGCTGAATTCTGCAAGCAGTTTTTTTTTTTTTTTTTTTTGCAACACTGGAGTTTGAACTCAGGACCGTGCGCTTGCTAGGGAGGTGCTCTGCCACTTAGCCATGCTCCCAGCCCTTTTTTCTTTCATCATTTTTCAAATAGGGTCTTGCTTTTATGCCTGGACTGGCCTGGATTTCAGTCCTCATATTTATGCTTCCCAAATAGCTGGGATGATAGGTGCATGCCACGCCCAGCTATTATTAGTTGAGATAGGGGTCTTGCTAACTTTTTGCCCAGGTAGGCCTCAAACCTCCCAATCTCTCCCTTCCAGGTATTACAGATGTGAGGCACCGGGCCAGGCTTCTGCCAGCAATTTCCAACACAATAAAAAGGGATTGAAAATTTCAGTGCTCCTTAGGAAGAATGGTACACATTGCAGCAAAAACAAGCCAATTGTATGAATGGTGTGAGAGCCAGGAATGAGATTTGATGAAACAGACATTAGCTGAAAATAGGTCATTCAGACTTTGTTGTTGCAGTATATATTTGTGTCTGGGTCATGAAATAAATTCTTTTTTTCAATTGGTCATGATTCTTTTTCTTTTTCTTTTTTTAGCAGTATTGGGGCTTGAACTGAGGGCCTCAAGCTTGCTAGACAGGTGCTTTACCACTTGAGCCACTGTGCCAGCCCATGATTTCTTTAAGTTTGAACAACACTGTTTTCATTGTCTTGACTACACAGTTGCAACTCCAATTTCCAGTAAATTTGACTTCAGTAGTTCTTTTTGGATTTGTGATTTTGCATGTTCACAGAGGATCAACTTTGCAAACAAGACATGCTATGTCTTCTATATGTGATATATAGAGAAAGAGAAGAGAAGAGAGGCTTTGGATGATGAAGATAGCAACCCATAGAGAGAGAAATTTAGGTGAATTCTTATAGTTAATCGTTCCTGGGTTTTGCTTTTCATTACCCCTGTTGCCATCGCTCAGTCCAGGTGTCACATGTCTTTCCTGGATTATCACCATAGCCATGTCACTAGTTGTTCTGTTTTTATCCTTTCCCCGACAATCTGTTCTCTACCTGACAGCCAAAGTGACCCTTTTAACCTTGGGTTACCTGATGTTATTCCTCTTCTTAAAGTTTTCTTGTGACTTCTTTTACTTAGAGTAAAAGCACTAAAACTGACTGATAGAGTTCTCTGTAGTCTGCTGTTCATCCCCCTCTGCCTCTCAGACCACAACTCCTATCCTCTTCCTCTTGCTCAGTCTTTTCCAGCCACATTGTCATTCCTTGCAGTTCCTCATTCCTGTCAAGGCTGCTTCTGCCTAAGCTCTGTTCTTTTCTCTTTCTAGAAACCTTGTTCATTTATAATCCTCATGAACCCTCCTTTCAAACTTCATTCAGATGTCTGCTCTGGTTTAATGTCCAAAGAGAGGCCTCCTTTGACTGCTGTACTAAAAATTCAATTCTCCCTTTACTCCCTGGGCCCTGTTTATGTTGTATCTAGGCACTGATCATTATTACTTTATATATATATTTGTTCCCCTGTTTATCACCTGTGCCTCCTCACTGCAGTGTGATGGCCAGGAGTGGAGTAATTTTATCTCTGTTGTTTATTACCATCTCCTCAGTGCTTAGAGTAGCCCTGGTATATGGCAGGGGACCTGTAAATATTGGTTAAATAAATAGGTGAGTTGATGGATATGAAATTACCACGGAGATAGGTAATATGAGGTGAATAAAGCAGTATTTTGAAAAAACACTTTTGTTTCCAAAAAATTTCTTGCCTAATTCTAACTTCACAGTGGTGTGTGTGTGTGTGTGTGTGTGTGTGTCGTAGGGACACTTCTTAGGGGACCTGTAGTATTGTAGGTGTAGTGGTTGTTGTTGATGTTTGCCAATCTTGATATGAGTGCTTTCTCTCTGACTTTATTTGAGCAGTTGTAGCAGAGCAGGTTCATTTGAGGAGGAAATAAGTTTTGTATGGGTTATTTTTTGTTTTGTTGTTTTGTGGTGCTGGAAATCAAACTGGGGGCTTGTGCATGGTAGGCCAGTGCTATACTGCTGAGGTACATCGCCAGCCCAGGAAATTCGATCTTAGTGGGAATTCTATGTCTACTTCTTAGACATTTGCCCATAGAAAGGAACTAAAATTCTCATTCTTTATCCCTGACACCAGAGAAGTAAAGACCTTAGATAATAGCCAGCTGTGAGTCAGGCTTTTCATTAAAAGATTTGCCCAGCTATACCCTATATGCTTCTTCTAAAGCCCACATCTGCAATAAGAAAGGAATCTTCCATGTTACCTGTATGCACATTTATGTAGTATAGATTTAGGACTTTACAAGGCATTTCACATAACCATGACATTGGTGCTTGTGATGATTCTCTGGTCGTTTCTAACCTATTCTTCTAAACATTTATCACAAGCTATTAATTTTACTTCAAGTTCACTGTTTATCAATGGAAAGTATTCTTATCAGATGCAAATTTATCTACATCCAAAATTTTCTATGCCTGGCTTTTGAAGAGACAGCTATCTTTCCTTGCTTGTGACTTTTGACTCTTGGTAAAGCAGAAACATCTTAGAGAAACAATGCAAAAGCCTCACAATGATCTAGCGAATTGGCCCTCATGCTATCCTTTGACCCCATGTGATTCTCACCACCTTCAGTTTTTCCTCAGCATTGATTCCCTTGGTGTACTCCTGCTTCTGGTCCAGCTTTTCAACTTCCCAGCAAAATTGCACTTTTCACTTGTTTTTGTATTTCAGACACCTTACTTTAAAAAACTCTTTTGCATCTATGAATTGGCTCAAATTTAAACTTGGATTTGGAGTTACAGAGAATCCCAGAAATCAAACTGGGATTCATCTGTGCATGTATTACTTGAATACCTACAAACTTCCAAGCTCTGCTCTAGGTAGTGGCTATAAAACTGAGCACCATAAAATTTAGTTTTTACCTACTAGCACTGAATTATAGTAGGAAGGACATATCATTTAAAAAAGATTTCTATGGTAATGTTAGTAATTATGTTCTTAAATGGGTTTCATTAGCACTTAGTACTTGGGAGCTCAGTGTTTACTTCTTGTTTTCTGTCAGTATGCAAACCAGAGAACTTAATATGTAGTAGAAACAATGAACTGAAAAGGGGTTGCAGGTGTAGCTCAAGTGGTGGAGTGCCTGCCTTAGCAAGCACAAGACCCTGATCCATCCTGAGTTTCCTTAGTCTCATTCTGAGTCCTAAGTGTGAAATCTTCAATGTTTGAACAAAGCTTTCACTGGTCTGTATCTCTGAATTCTTTGTCCTTATAGGAGAGAACAATAAGAGTGATTTAATTACTGTTCAAGACAGAGGATCACATGAAGAGCTTTCCTGCTGGCAGATCTGGCAACAAATTTCAAATGACTTAACCAGGTGTCCAGACTCCATGATAAATAATACTCAGTTCTACCGACAAAGTGATTCCCCCTGCCAAGTTGGAGCAGGATTTCCTATTCAAATTTCTGAGGATGAGAACTGTATACAAAATCACAAAGCAGGTGATCGCAGTGATACTGGAAATCCACAATTTCCTACTTTGAGGACCCAGGATTCTTGGAGGAAATCTTCTCTGACTGAGTCACAGAATTATCAGAATAGATATCAGCAAATTTCCATGAAAAATAAACTGTGTCTGTGTAGACAGGCTATTGACCCCATTAGTTGGACTTCACACCACTGTGATGATTGTGGAGCACACAAAAGTGAAAAGTCTTATAGCCCTGATGATTATGGCAAAGATAGCATAAAGAATAGGATGATTCACACAGGGAAGAAGCTGTCTGAGTGTAAAGAAGCCTTCAGTGATCTTTCTAGCTTTGATCCCCAGCAGCAGTTAGACTCAGGAGAGAAGTCTGTTCCATGTGTGGAGTGTGGGAAAGGCTTCCATTATGACTCAGTTCACCATGTTCATCAAACAGTTCATGTGGGAGAAAAAAATAAGTGTGCTGAGTGTGGTGAGGAATTCAGTCACAGCTCACATCTACATGCCCATCAGAAACTCCACCTTGTTGTGAGACCACACAAATGTGACCAGTGTGGGAAAGACTTCAGTCGAAGATCAGCACTTAACGTTCATTGTAAAGTCCACACAGGAGAGAAACCTTATAATTGTGAGGCATGTGGGAGGGCCTTCAGTCAGGCCTCTCACCTCCAGGACCATCAGAGACTCCACACTGGGGAGAAACCATTCAAATGTGATGCCTGTGGGAAGAGCTTCAGTCGGAATTCACATCTTCAGTCCCATCAGAGAGTTCACACAGGAGAGAAACCATACAAATGTGAGGAGTGTGGAAAGGGCTTCATTTGTAGCTCAAATCTTTACATTCATCAGAGGGTCCACACAGGAGAAAAACCGTATAAGTGTGATGAATGTGGTAAAGGCTTTAGTCGACCTTCAAGTCTTCAGGCCCATCAGGGAGTACACACTGGAGAGAAGTCACACATATGCACTGTGTGTCATAAAGGCTTTACTCTGAGTTCAAATCTTCAAGCCCATCTGAGAGTCCACTCTGGAGAGAAACCATACAAATGTGAGGAGTGTGGGAAGAGCTTTAGGAGGAACTCCCATTACCAAGTTCACATAGTGGTCCACACAGGAGAGAAACCCTATAAATGCGAGTTATGTGGGAAGGGCTTTAGTCAGAGTTCATATCTTCAAATCCATCAGAAGGCCCACAGCAAAGAGAAACCTTATAAATGTGAGGAGTGTGGACAGGGCTTCAATCAGAGTTCACGGCTTCAGATTCACCAGCTGATCCACACTGGTGTGAAACCATACAAATGTGAAGAGTGTGGAAAGGGATTCAGCCGGGGAGCAGATCTTAAGATTCATTGTCGAATCCACACAGGAGAGAAACCCTATAAATGTGAGGAGTGTGGGAAGGGCTTCAGTCAGGCTTCACATCTTCTGGCCCATCAGAGAGTCCACAGTGGAGAAAAGCCATTCAAATGTGAAGAGTGTGGGAAGAGCTTTCGTCGTAGCGCACACCTTCAAGCTCATCAAAAAGTCCACACTGGGGAAAAGCCATACAAATGTGAGGAGTGTGAGACAGGCTTCAGGCATGCCTCAAATCTTTTGGCCCATCAGAGAGTCCACAGTGGAGAAAAGCCATTCAAATGTGAAGAGTGTGGGAAGAGCTTTGGTTGGAGCTCACACCTTCATGCCCACCAAAAAGTCCACACTGTGGAAAAGCCATACAAATGTGAGGAGTGTGGGAAGGGCTTCAAGTGGAGCTTGAATCTTGTCATGCACCAGAGGGTCCACACAGGAGAAAAGCCATATAAGTGTGGGGAATGTGGTAAGTACTTCAGCCAGGCTTCAAATCTTGAGCGTCACCAGAGTGTCCACACTGGAGAGAAGCCGTTCAAATGTGATGTGTGTGGTAAAATCTTCAGTCGGTCTTCACAGCTCCAGTCTCATCAGAGAGTTCACACAGGGGAGAAGCCTTACAAGTGTGAGGTATGTGGTCAGAGCTTCAGTTGGCGATCAAATCTTACAATTCACCACAGAATCCATGTTGTTAATAAATCCTATAGAATTGGTAAGACCATCAGAGAGTCCACCCAGGAAAAAAGTTGTATAAAGTGACTTTTTTTGAAGACTCAAGTGTCATGTGAATTCTTTTCATCATCATGTCTCAGCAGAAAAATAGTTATGTTTTACTAAAGTCTTTCAGCCAGTGCTCCTCATGGTTCAGTGGTTTAGGGTACACAGCAGAGAACTCTTCTCATTGGTATGAGAAGGCTTTCATTAGAGCCTTGTTCTTTCTCAAATGTTACTCAGAGGAGAGACCTTGAGAAGGATGAGTTTCACCAGGGTTTTTGCAGAAGTATCACAGGCATGCTATGGTGTCCACTACAATGATAACTGTAAGGCAGAGGTTTTGTTCACTGCTGACTATATTATCTCAACACGGCCAAGGATCCAAGAGTTGCTTAATATTTGTTTAGTTAATAAGTGGAGAAATGTGTAACATTTAAACTGTTGAGGTCACCTCCAGTATATTATAAATTTATATTCAGAACAGGAAATCTAGGAACTTGAAAAATTGATTCAAGGGAATAAATAGTTGAAATGTAGAAAGCCGCTCAGTGCTGCAGTCTGTAATATTAATTTGGCATTGCCCTGTTATGATTAGCACCTATCTTCTCCCAGGCTTTTTTACCAAGTTGGGTCCAGTCTTCTTGGACTTTGCCTAATTTTCCATTGATTTAATACAGTAGAGAGTTGGTTGTCTTTTGTGACAGTATTGCTGAAAAATGAATTTTGTTAATCTTGCATTAACAGGATACTACCTACTACACTGCTGATTATTTTTCAACACTGTTAAGGCAGAGGTGTATGCGTCAGAAAAGGTTACTAGTGACTAACATTTCATTGTGAATGTTGACTTGATCTTTTTCTTTTTCTCCACATTTTCATCCATGCTTTGACATGATTGCCTTATGAGGGTTTAGCATTGTTTTTTTAGGTAGAGCTTATTTGCAATAGATTGTCAAGATCTTTGCCCCATATTCTTCCTTTCCCTACCCAAGGACAAAAAGTCAGTGGTAGAATTGGAGAAGTTCCATCAAATTCTTTGGCTTGTTGGGGCACAAATGACTCACTTTTTCCTCAAGGTGGGAGTGAATAAAATACTTTTGGAACAGGAGTTAGTATAAATCAGAATAGTGAATGCATTCCTTTTATCTGGAAATCATAGAGTAGAAACATAGAAGATTCAAATAGGTAAGTAATATATTAATGATGTTGCTGAGAAGTACTTAGTACGAATTTATTTTTTATTTTAACAAAATGCACATGGGGTATAATGTCATGTTTCATTTAGGAATTTAAGATTTTTCATATTCCTGCAATAACATGGATTCATTAAAATGATGGTCAAGTTATGACAATAGAAGAATAACAGTTTAATGTAGTTTAGGGGCTTCACCTGCCTTCAACTCATGTGTACATGTGAGTGAATGGGCATGAAATCATGGGTGACATCTTTCTCACACATATGTAAATCCTGATAAGAGTCTTCAGGAGTTTTCCACATTTAACTTCTGTGTTTAATTTTTTCCAGTGAGCATCCATTTTTACTCCAAAACACTAATTTTTATGTTGAAATAGGTAATAAAACTACCTAAAGTATAATTTGAAAAATTACTAAGACTATATTAATCTCTTGAGATTAAAGGATCATAAGCCATACAAGGCCAAATTTAAGGAATGGAAATGAATTATAAAAAGGAAAAATTGGATAGTTGTTCAAAGAAAGATAATTGGCAAGTATGAATATATGTTTGCATTTGAATATATAATGCATTTTAATCTCCTTGGGCATGAATCCCATGCACCTAGAATTTTAGTATAATTCCAGCAGTAGGGATTAATGCATCCTAGGATTTTGGTGTTGTGCTTTGGGTTGGTTGGTTGGTTGTTTTATTGAGACAGGGTCTTGCTGTGTATCCTAGGCTGGTGTCAAATTCTTGGTCCTCCTGTCTCAGCCTCTGTTGGAATTACATGTGTGCACCACCGTGCTATCAATGCATCCTAGGTCTTGACAAGCCTTGTCACTGGATAAACCAATAGCCCATGACACTGACTTGTCCTTTCAAGGGCTTGGTTTTGTTGGGGGGGTGGTAGTTGAGCAGCCAAGTCTTTCCAGACACTATGGCAAAAAAGAATTGAGCCATGGAAAAAAGGAATAGTGAAAAAAGTTGTTTATAAAGTAACAGAGTGAGGGTAAACCCTGAAGAGAAAATAAGTAAGTGGAAACAAGTTTTGGAGGTAAAATTTGATGTGGACGAAGAAAACATACGTATAGGTAGGGAACGGCATGATGCCAGTGGAGTCTAATGATGGGAGCAATGCAGTTACCAAGCAAGATTGGAGACAATTTCTTATACATTTCGATGGTGTTTAAAGCTTATTTGGTTAAAGGACTTTACTCAGCAAAGGATAAAGATCTGTCTTACCTTATCTAGCTATATCTATCTATTATCTGTATGTACACACGCATATATGTATAAACACATATATATACACACATATGGGAAGTTTCCACAATTTCCTGTGGATTCCTGGGTCACACTTTCACATGCTATTTTTACCTCAAATTGTGTTAGATATCAGAAATCCTGGGCCTTTGATGTTTTGTGTGTTCACTGTCAAGCTAGCTAACCAGCTCTCAAGGTAATTTGTAGGTAGGGTTGGCACACTGCATTTAAGAGCTTTATTGAAATATAACAGTGCTACTTTATGTATCTATGGCTGCTTACTTGCTGAAGTGAGTGTTTAGTTATGACAAACATGGCCCACAAAATCTAAAATATTTACATTCTGGCCCTTTGTGTAAACTGTTTGACCTCTGTGTTAAGCCAAAATGATTTGTCTCTCATGATTGAAAAGATCTTAGCACAGGTCTTAGACATTCAATCTAAGGTTTAGTCAGAATTCCAAATAGTTTGCTTTTGATTGTCATGTTTCCCCTTCTGATTGACATTGGCCTTTAGGTTGGTCCCAAAGTGGCAACAGCAACTGGGACTACCTACTTCTTTACAGCCAGTGAAAGAAAACTGCTGTTTCATTTGTAGTATTGGGTTGCTCACTGTTCACTCCTAATGCGCATAGGTTTTGCTCCCATCTACACTCAAGGTTAAATTTCTAGGAGCACGTGTGCACTTGTAGCTTTAGCTACTCAGGAGGCTGAGGTGGAAGGATCACTCACTTGAGCCCAGGAATTCAAAATCAGCCTGTGTAACATAATTGAGATCCTGGCTTGAATAAGTTAGTAAAGAAATTAAACTAGCTGTATATCTCACTCCCTTGGCCTTTGTGGCTATTAAGCTTCCACTTCCACTTGCCATTATGGACTCAAGTTTTCTAGTTTTGGCCTTTGAGATATTTTCCTATCTTAATTTTGAGCATGGTTGCCTATAAACATTTTAGGGGATGCTTATATATTAGCATTTTTTTTTCAGAAAAAGGTACCCAACATCAAAGTCAGTGACCGAATGGTAATACTGAATTCACAGATTTGTAGAGCATTTTATTTTATTGTGCTGGACTTGTAGAGTCTTACCAGTAGGCTATCAGGATATCAACAGGAAGGCGTGGAATGCTTAAAAATTAGGATGGGAACATATGAGCAGATTCCAACAAGGCTGAGAACATTGATCTCTAAATTTATCTTTCTTCCTCTAAAGTAGGTCTCCCTTTGATTGAAGAACAATAGTGACCTGCCCTAAGATGTTCTCCTTGCAAGGAATTAGATCCTTAAGTTTGCGCTCCATTTCTCTAATTTT